CTCGGCGTTCTCCACGAGACGAGCCCACTACTGTTCTGAGTGGTTGCGTCTATATCCCGCCCCTCGATGGCGAAGAGGAAGAGCAAGAGGAGCAGGCAAGAACACGCGGCGCAAAAAGGACGGGCACCGTGCGGGTCAGGCACCGCGTCGGCTGCACGCAGGAGTGGCCCCAGAAAAAACGGCCAGGCGCCGATCATTGCGTGCGACGATGCAGCAGCAGCGGCCAGCGTGCCCGAGCTTGCCCCCCCCCCCCCTGGTGCGCGCCCCGAAGGCCGCGCAGCACTCTGGCGAGCGGCCGCCCCGCCTGTCGCAGGGCCGGCCCACGCCGCAAAGGCACCGTGCGGGCCAAGCAGGCCGCATAGTAGCCGTGCGGGCCCAGGCCGCATCGCGCGCGCGTGCGGCGGCGACGCCTCACGACGAGGCCTGCCCGCCCTCCGCCTCGCTCCGCCGCCGCCGCCGCCGCCCGCGGCGCGGAGCCTCGGCCTCGCCGCGCACCGCCGCCGCCGGGCCGGGCTGGCCGACGCCGCCGCCCACGGCGGCGGCAGCGCTCTTGTCGGCAGCGGCCGAGGCGCCGTCGTCGCGCTCGTCGGCGGCGGGCGCCGCTCCCGCGCCCTCATCGGTTGCTCGGGCGGCGGCGGCGGCCTCGCCCTCGCCGGCGGCGGGCTCCGCCGCCGGGGCCTCGGCGGCCTGGGCGTCGTCGAGGCCCTGGCCGTCGCTCCCCTCGTCGTGGGAAGGCGGCGCATCCGGGGCCTCAACGGGGGGGTTGGGTGGACGCGCGGAGTCGGGGCGGTCGCAGCCTCTGCTGCGGCGCTCGATCGGCGCGGAGGGCCGCGCGACCTTCCAACCTCCTGGTCCTTCTGCCCCGCCCCCCGCCGACGCTGTTTGTGACCAGCGGCGTCGAGGATTCGCCCCGTCGCTGCTACAATCTAGTGGCGGCGAGAGGTTGACAACGAGCCTGCCGCACTTCCTCGCCGCACGCGACGCCGAGAACACGTCCCGTCGCTACTCTTTTGTGTTTGGCGCTCAGAGGTGTACAACCGACCCTGCAACACATCTCGGGGACTCGCTAATCCGCGCCAGCACTGACCCGGGCCCGCCAAGGCCATGTCCCGAACCCGGGCCCGCCACGAAATAACTCGCAAACCTGGGTCAGCGGAGGGCGGGTCGGCAGTCGGCACCGTGTGTCTCCCTGACATGGGTCAACCCGTGTCAGCGAAAGGCGGGGACGGGTGGTCGGCACCACGTGGCTCCCGAGTATGGGTCAGCCAGAGGGGATCGGAGGGGTTGGCCGACTCCTGTTAGCGCTGAACCCGTTTCGGCGTCCCGGACGGAGCGTCCTCGCATCAAGCTTGACTGGCGCCTCCCGGCGCCTCTAGGCTTCAATGTATCTAGGGATGCGCCTGGCAGCGGTGCCGAAACCATGTGTGTGTGTGAGGGCAGAAGATTTCGTACCCCCCTTTCCCACTCCTCAACGCCACCCTTCAAGGCATTCAACAAGAGGAGGCTTTTGGTCGCTGCAGAGAATGCCGCTTTCCTGACACTTTCCTGCGCGCTGCCAAAGTACCCGTTGCTGGGTACCCGTCTCGGTGGCGCTGGTCATCTCCCGTCTCTTTCTCGGATGCACCGAGGATGGGGTCCAGAAGGGGTGCTAGCGTATCATGGCCCGATGCGTGTGCGCGGACGAGGAGGGGGAGCAAGGCACGCACCGAGAAGAGGGGCCATGACATCTGGGATATCCTATTGCCCAGGCCATGAGAGCAGCAACACAACTCGGCCAGGCTGAACTCGGCCAGCTGAATTCGGCCAGGCTGAACTCGGCTGACTGACCTCGGCCAAGCTCAACTCGGCTCGGTTGAATGTCGGTCCGGGCCGAGTTTCACCTGGCCGAGTTCAGCTGGCCGAGTTCAGCCTGGTCGAGTTTCGCCTGGCCGAGTCTTTCCCTTGTCATGAGAGCAACCCCCTCTTTTCGACGCCGACGCCTGGTAACTTTCGGGCCTCCGGCAGCCGTTCGGGACGAGTCGGGCGCCCCCGGAAAGCCCTCGACGAGGTGCAGCTGCTGAAGAGAAGACCCCGAGGCGCGGAAAACCCCAAGACACAACGAGGACACTCCCTCCAAGAGCCTCCTCGGCGCCCCCGACTCTCGTCCGCCCCGGAATTCCTCGCGCGAAGCCCGCACCTCGCGCCCCCCGCTCACCGAGGCGTGCCTGGCCGGATCGGTCGGTGCCGCTTGCAGTCCTCGGCGCGCGCGGTCGCGCAGATCGATATGCAGATCGAGGCTTGCTGCGCCGATGCCTCGCAAGCCTCGCGGGCCGACATCCGCAGCACCTCCTGCAGCACCGCGTCGTCCACGTCGTCGTCCATCTCCATCGCGCCGTGCGTGGGCCGCGCGCCTGCCCCCAAGCCTCCTCTTGCCGCAAAAAAAAGGAAATCGCGGCGGGATTTTTTTTTTGGTTGTTGTCGTTGTTGTTTCTCTTGTTCCCCACCCGACAGGTAAGGGTTGTTAGATTTCGAGAATAGACCCCCTGGCCAACCCCACCCTGCATACCGCGGCCGCCAGACCCCAAGTTGTCCCGAGAATCCCCCAGTATCCCCGAGGAGTCCCTGGGAATCCCGCCCCCTCGCCCTCGACAAACACGACTGCATACCGCGGCCGCCAGACCCCAAGTTTTCCCGAGAGTCCCCGAGTGTCCCCGAGAATCCCCGTGTGTCCCTGGGAGTCCCGTCTCGCGCCCTCGACAAACACGAAACAAAACACCATTACACAACATAACATTACATAAGATAACATAGCAATACCATGACACCATAGAGCATAATACAATAACATATTACAACACGACAACAGAGCATAGCGACGAACACGACAGAACACAACGTGCCACAATATAATATACCAAACCATAATACAACCATGACATAACATGACGGAACATGGCATGGCAGTACCAATACAAAACATATCATGACATAACATCACATACTATACATACCAGAGCATATCACACCAGAGCAGACCAATATAGTAGACAGAACGCGACAGAACATAACAGAGCATGACAGACCATGACACAACATTGAATAGCATGAAAGAACAGAACACACCATAACATCACATACTTAACCATAGCCAAACGTCACATAACAGATAACCACATAATATCACATACCAAACCAACCAAGAGCACTAGAGAAGATCACATAACGAACCAAAACCAGGCCAGACCCCGAGTTGTCCCGAGAATCCCCGAGTCGCGCCCTCGACAAACACTAAACAACACACCATTCCACAACGTAACATGGCATAGCAATACCATGACACCATACATCATATCATAACATCACAAAACATATCTGGACGGAAAATTACATAACAGACGACGACAGAACACACCATAACATAGCATCACATAACGGATCATACCATAACGCACGTTGGTTGAACATGTCATATCATGGCACAGCGTTCAGAACATATCATGACACAACAACAGCATGGCGACGAACACGACATAACATAACATGTCACAATAAAAGGTAACATAACAAAACGTGATCATGACATAACACGGCGGAACATTACATGCCAGTATCATTTCAACACAGATCATGACAGAACATCCAAGATCACATTATGACAGAGCAACACAACATTGTACACATAACACGACATACCAGAACAAATCATGAAAGAACATAATGCATAGCATGAAACAACAGAGCACACCATGACAACACATAACAAACCAACACATAACGACACATAACAGAAGACCACATAACTTCACGGAACAAACCAAACCAGAGCACAAGAGAACATCACATAACAAACCAAAACCAGGCCAGACCCCAGTTGTCCCGAGAATCCCGCAGTCCCTGCCGCCGCCCCGCCGCGGGCGGGTCTAAGGATGGGAGGGGGGGGGAAAGGAAGAGGGGAAGGAGGCATGGGGCAGGATGAGGAGGATCGGTGGGAACCGCTCGAAGCAAATAATGTTTGGCATTTTCGCGCATCCTCTCGGCGGCCCCCCGTGACAGTCTACACGGTCTGAGCGGCTCTGCCCTTGCCTCGGCGGCGACGATGGGGGCGGATCGCCCAGGGGGAAACCATACATGGTCTAGGATTTGCCCCCCCCCCCCCCTCCCCCGCGCGATGCCCCCCCCACCCGCGCGCTGCCGTCCCCCCCCGTGGGTGTGGTGTGGTGCTGTGGGTGTGGCGTGTGTGGCGTCAGTGGTACTGTGGTGCTCCAGGAGAGCTCTGGAGGTCGTCGTCGTCGTCGCCGGCGCCACCGTCGTCGGAAGGCTCCAGAGGTCGGCGGCGGCGGCGCCGCCGCCGCCGCCGTCTTCGTCGTCATCGTCGCCGTCGTCGTCGCCGTCTTCGTCGTCATCGTCGCCGTCGTCGTCGTCGTCGTCATCGCCGTCGTCGTCGTCGTCGTCGTCATCGCCGTCGTCGTCGTCGTCGTCGTCGTCGTCGTCGTCGTCGTCGTCGTCGTCGTCGTCGTCGTCGTCGTCCGTCGTCGTCGTCGTCCGTCGTCGTCGCAGTCGTCGTCGCGTCGTCGTCGTCGTCGTCGTCGTCGTCGTCGTCGTCGTCGTCGTCGTCGTCGTCGTCGTCGTCGTCGTCGTCGTCGTCGTCGTCGTCGTCGTCGTCGCCGTCGTCGTCGTCGTCGTCGTCGTCATCGCCGTTGTCGTCGTCGTCGTCGTCGTCGTCGTCGTCGTCGTTGTCGTCCCCCCCCATCTCATCAGGGGGGGGACCCGAGGGACCCTAAGACCCATCCCATCTGAGGGGGGGGCAAGGGGCCCGTGGGCCATAAGCCCGGGATCATACATGGCCTATTCCGGAGACCCTGAACTCAAAAATGTTGTCATCTCTTGGGGGCGTATCTTTTATTTCCGCCGCTTTCCGCTGTCTTCCGCTGGCGGAGGCGGCATCCTTTAGCTTCAGACGACGGCCGCCGCCTTCAGCCGCGGAAGAGATGGCAACTCCTTCGATCCTCGAAGGCAAGGCCCTTTCTGGAACGCCTCACATGTATCCACGGGCGCCGACGGTCCATGCCTTCGGCGAGGCTCCCCGACGAATGCGTGCAATATGCCGGCCCTTGGGCTACTCGCCCCTATCGGCCTCCGCTCCGCTCCTCTCTGTTCCGCCGTGCCCCAATTCTGCTGCGGCGCGCTCCGCCTTTAGCCCGACCGGCGACGGCTACGTCGACGACGACGGCGACGACGACAACGACGACGCCGACGCCGACGGCCGACACCGCTTCCGCGCCTCTGCGCTCGTAGAATTATACCGTCTCTGCATGTTCGGCTCCTGGGGGACCCCTCGGACGGCCCCAGGGCCGCCAACAGAAACGCTTCGGGATGAGGCGCCGGGCTGGGGGCAACGGTCCAGACCTCCTGGGGTCCAAGTTGCGGAAAAGATCGCGGGTCACGGCGTCGGGCACCAGGCATTGGATTGGGGGGCAAGGAGAGGGAAGAGGAGGAGCTCGAGGATGGACCGTGGTATCAGTGGTAGTGACAGTGGCAGTAGCGGTGGTGATTGTAATGCTATGAGTGGTGGTGGTAGTTGTGATACTACATCCCACAAGCCCTTTGGGCTGAGGTGATACAACTATATATTTCTTCTCTTTCAAAAACAACCCTCTCCCCACCCTCTCCCCTGGACGCCCTGCAGAGTCCCTGCAATACCACTGCGAGCCTCCCTGCAGAGACCGTGCAAGGGCCCCCGCAATACCATGCAACACGACGTGCGATACCCAAGACGTGAAAATGGGGTACGCGTCCTGTGGCCTTGCCGCATGCGCCCCGTCTTCTTGGCTGGGGCGAGACCCTTGCGCCTGTTCTCAAAGGCCGCTGCGGCAACTCTGATGCCGGCCAGCGCCGAGCCTGAGCCTGGAAGCCCTGCAAAAGACCATGCAGAGGCCCTGCAACGACCCTGCAACTACCCCGCAAACAGACTGCAAACTCACTTCTTGGAGGTTTACCCCGACCCCCTCCCTGAGGTTTTTCGGGGCGGGCCGCGACGCGTTAGGGTGTCCAAGATGGCCCAAGATGGCTCCAAGAGGGCTTTCGATGCTCCAAAATATCCTCCCAAATGGCTCAAGATAGCCGACGATGGTTAAAGATAGCTTCCGGCATACCTCCAAGAGGCCCGACGAGGGCCACAAGACGGTTCCAAGTGTTCTTAGAGCCTCCTAAGGACACCCCAAGAAGCCAAAATCCTTCAACAACCTCCGGAAGATCAATGGACATTGCCTTCTCGCCGTTTCGCTTCCGATGCGATTTGGAAACCCCAATATGGCCCCAAAATGGTCCAAGGGAGGCCCAAGAAGGATCCAAGAGGGGCCCAAGAGGCCCCGCAGATGGCCCACAAATCGCCCAAGAGCACGGGCCCCAAGCGGCGATTTGGATGTTCTCAGGGGGGGGAGGGGACCCCCCTCATGATCGATGGCCTCCAAAATGACCCCCAGACCCCCAGAGGGGGCTTCAAGTGGGCCCGAAGAGGGTTCCAAAACCTCCCAAAAGAGCCCCAAGAGGACCCCAAGATCCCCCGAAAGAGTTCCAAGAGGGCTCCAAGAGGCGACTTTGAGGGTTCCGTCCTCGTCCCCACTGTCCTCCTCCTCCTCCTCCTTGCCTTCGTCGTCTTCCTTTTCCCTTGCCCGTCGTGGTGGTGGTCGTCGTCTTCCTCCTCCTCCTCCTCCTCCTCCTCCTCCTCTTTCGCCCTCCCTCGCCCCCACGCGGCCCCCAGGGATTGCCCGCAGAGGCCCTCCAAGGCCACCCCCTGGCTCCCAGATATCTCTCAATTCACCCTGGTTGCCCGCTCTGTTTCACTGCATGTGTCCCTTCGTCCTTTTTCCCGTCAGCCGTCATGGGAAAAAGGTTTTTGAATGGGCTATTGGTGGGAATTGTCTGGTCCGCGGACGCGCGAAACGAATCGAACGCCGAGCGTGCTAGGGCGGGCCGCGCCCGTAGCGAAGTCAAAAGCAGTTCGAGCGGAAACGCGGCAACCGAAAAGCACGCCGAAGACGACGAGCACGCGGGCACGGCCGCAGACATTTCGAACAGGAAGCACTTGAAGCGCCCCGAAAGCGCGGAGAGGACGACGAAGAGGGACACAAGGCCGGGACGGGTAGAAGTGGGCCGCCACGCCGAACAAAAACGCCGACGTGCCAACGCGGGAGACGCAGCCAAAATGGCGCGGAAAAAGGCCCACAAAAGGCCGAAGTGCGGGTTGCGGTGCCGCGCATGTGTGCCCCAAACCTGAAAAACGGCGGCAGTCATCCGTGTAGCCGTGGCCAGGTCGTACCAAAGGTCAAGGTGCAACCTTGTCGTACAAGAAAGACTTCGGATGGCCGTCGACCGACACCGTGAGCCCCGCGCGCACGAATCCGAAAACAAATATGGACGGCACGAAAACCGTGCAAGAGGGCGCCGCCCATCAGGTAGCCCGAATGGAGCCCAGCGCGCGCCCGAGGCCAAGGGACAACCTTGTCGTACAAGTCGGACTTCAAATATGGCCGTCGACCGACACCGTGCGCCCCGCGTGCACGAACACGAAAACAAAAATTACGGGCACGAGAGGACCGTGCAGGTGAGCGCCGCCCGTCAGGTAGCCCGAAGGTGGAGCGACGGGAGACCATGCGGAGGCCGGCGCCCGCAAACGTCTGCCCGGGGGACCGTCCCGCCTTGGGCGCAGCGGGCCACTGGCAGGGATGGGGCTCGCCCGTCTGGACAACCAACATGAACCCTTGCGGCCATCACGTGGTGGGACGGACAGGGCCGAAGCCCCGGGGGAGCTGGTGCCATGCCGGCCGGACCAACCAGGAGGTTCATAGGAGGCAGCTGATCGTTGCAAGCGCTCGAAGAGCCTCGGCAAAGGCATACCCGTGGTAAGCAGCTGATCGCTGCAAGCGCTCGAAGAGTCTCGGTCGAGGAATACCCATGGTAAGCACCGACAAGGAACGCCCATCGGATCGATCCGTCTTGAGGGGGCGCAAGAAGACGGGGTCAAGGGCTCCAGTCGTAATACTTCCTGGAGCACGGCGCTCTGATGTTCCGCCTGCAAATACTTTGAACGCCTCGGCAGAGGAATACCCAAGGTGGACAGGCGGTTGATCGCTGCAGATACTTCGAAGACCTCGGCAAATGTATGCCCAAGGTGGTGCCGCCACCACGGGCAGGCAACGAAAGAAGGGTTGCAGGCGGCGGGGAGCCCTGCCTGCTCAGGAGGGATGTTCGATGACGTCGCTGCCGAATATCTCGGCAGCTGTATCGGCAGGAGCGGCAGCCTTGGCCACAGGTTGCCCGATGGCCGGCTGTCGCTGCATCTAGCGGCCTCCGCTGCGCTCCCACCGAGGCGTGCCGCGCCGCAGCGCTGGGGCAGCCTGGGACGCTGCCGCTGATCGCCCAGAAGCCTGCTGTCGCTGCACCCGTCGGTCTCCGCTCCACCCCCGCCGCGGCGCACCGCGCAAGCTGCGCTGTCGCTGCTGCGTCGGGGCCAGCTCCGCCATGAAGTTCTGGCGCCCGTGCAAAAACGATGCGGAACCCAACCGCGGCCTCCACGTCGCGACGAGTCGCGACGAGAGATTTGGGAACGCCTCCCCCCCCGCGTCCGAGAGCATGGCCGCGCCAGCGTTGGTCACGTACTGCCGGACCTTCATGCTATCGGCACCAGAGGGCGGGGGCCGCGAGGAGGGCGCGGCGTCCACGAAGTGGCCTCCAAACGCCTGCCGATGGATGTAGCCGGCGAGCCGCCTCCGCGCGGCTGCAAGTGGCGCTGCCCCGCGCCGCGGCCTCTGGGGGGCTCGTCGCTCAGGGCGCTGGCAGTGTCGAGCGATTCGCGCGCAACCCCGCCGCCGGCAGCAGGGCCAGTCGAGGAGGTGCGCGGGGGGTGGTCGCCCTCTCCTGTTCGTCTGGCGCCCCGCGCTTCTGCTCCCACACCTGCTCTGTCCCCAGGTCGGCGTCGTCGGTCGTCTGCCGCCTGTCAGACCCCGCCAAGCCGTCGACGCTGTCGAGCGCCAGGTTCCATCCCGCGGGCGGCGACGGGGCTGGGGGATCGCGGGCTCTCGGGGCCAAGCCGTTGTCTAGCCGCTTTCAAGCAGACGCACCAACGTCGCACGCTGGCCGCCGTGCCGTCGCTCCTTGGCGCTGGGATTCGCACTGTTGTAGGGGAGGGTGGTGTCTCGATCCGGCTCCAGGGGGCGCAAGAAAATGGGGTCGAGGGCCCCGGTCATGCTGCTTCCTGGGGCGCTGCTCTCGATCGTTCCGTCTGGATGGCCGCGGCCTCCGTCGTCTCGTGTCTGTGACGGAAGATCCGCCGCTTTTCCAGGGTGGTCTGTCCTCAGGTTGTCGGCGTCGGCGTCGGCGTCGTGAGCGTCGTGGTTGTCGTCGTCGTCGGCGTCGGCGTCGGCGTCGTCGGGGTCGTCGTCGTCGGCGTCGGCGTCGGCGTCGGCGTCAGCGTCGGCGTCGGCGTCGTCGGCGTCGGCGTCGTCGGCGTCTGCGTCGTCGGCTTCGTCGGCGGGAGGGCAAGCCGTGCTCGTGCCAGGACACCCGTTGCAGGCTGACGGCGACGAGGGGCATTGCACGCTCCAGGAATACGGCTGCACAGCGCCGCCCCCCCCCACCTCCTCTGTAAGGGGGGCTGTCGTCTCCAGATGGGCGTCTAATCGTCGCAGGTGCCCTTCGTCCAGATGGGCGTCTAGCCGTCGCTGGTGGGGATCGGCGACGCGTGAAGAATCGAATGATTTCCATACTGGTGCCGACGGTGGTAGAAGAAATTATGCCAGAAACATACGGGGTTCCAGGAAGGGCTAGAGACGTCCCCGAAAACACGGTGCTCGAACGTCCATGGTCGAACCGCGATCCCCTTACTTCGACCCACCTCCCTGCGGTCGAACATCTGCGCTTTCAGATATGCATCCTCACATGACGTTTGCCCTATGGACGTGTCGCGGCAGGCGAGGGGCCCATGGTCTCCGCTCCAGCCCGCCGCGGCCCGCCGCAATCGTCGCGCTTGCCGCCGCCGCCACCCTCATTACCGTCGCCGCCGCCGTCGCCGTGCTCGTCGTCTTCGTCGTCGTCGTCGTGCTCGTCGCCGTTGTCTTCGTCGGCGTTGTCTTCGTCGCCGTCGTGTTCGCTGTCGTGTTCGTCGTCGTGTTCTAGGTTGTCGCCGTCGCCCTTTGTCCTCGTCCTAGCGGGAGCCTCTGCGCCGATAGAAGGCGGGCTCGCAGCCACGACAAAGTATGGCACAGAACGGAGACCCCGATCGGAATCGTCGACTGCTTTGTTTGAGCACCCGACGCCGACGGCGCCCGCGTTCTCTCGGCGCAGGGGCCCCGCGAGGACGAGACCGAACACGAACACGACGGCGCCATCATGGCGAGAGGCGCGTGGGGCCTTCGCTCAGGCCGCTGGCTCGCCGCGACTCCTCGATGGCGCGCATCATCATCGCGTCCTCGTCCAGCTCGAAGTCCACCACGGTGTCGTAGTCGCACCGGTGCCTGCCGCCACAAGCTTTCGGTCCCGCGATGCCGAGCGCGCCGCGAAGTGTGGCGAGGCAGAAACGCGGACCCGAACCACCATTCTTGGAACATATTGCGGAGCACGTGCTGCCTTGCAGGCGTGGCAGGCAGTACGTGTGAGCTGTGCCTGTCTTGATGTGCACCCCCGCCGACCTCGCGACCACGTGGGCTGGACTGGCCAGCGGCGTGCCCACAGGGCTGGTCCGTCTGAGAAGAGCATCCGCCTCATGTGCAGCCTTACAGCCCCTCTCTCTCTTACAAGCCCGCTGTCTGATTGGACAAATCGGCGCTGGACCTTCCTGGCGGCGCCTCTAGTGCCGCCCCTGGCGCGCTCTGCGCGCCAGGGAGAGGGGTACAGCGCCGATCCACCCTCCGAACTTGCCATCGTTCGGACGTCCATTTCTCGTGCATTTTTCGGTATCGTGCTTTTTTGTTCGCAGGATGATCCAAGACGCTCCCCAGTGGTCCTCACCGAGAAACACATAATGCACACGTCCGAGCGATGCCAAGGAACATTGATATTAGTGTATACATGTTTCTTCTTCGCCTGACCCAAGCCCGTTACCTGATGTCCTAAGCCTGGAGGAGCGGGAGCAGGGGCAAGAAGAACAGGAGCAGGATGAGCAGAAGGACCCCGCTTCGTGCTCCACGGGGAAGGGTGGGTGCGCCGATCCTTCCGTCTACCCTACTTTGGCAATGACCAAGCTGACTCGAAAACCCGAGAACAGGATTGGACGCCCATAAAGGGAGAGAAAGAGAGAGAGAGGACAGAGGTCCAGGCCTCGAAACCCCCCTGGCGCGCCCCCATCGGATGAACACTTTGAAGAGGACGAGGAAAAGAGAGAGAGAGAGAGAGAGAAGAGGGATAGCAAGAGAGAGAGAGAGAGAGAGAGAGAGAGGAAAAGGAGGAGGATCGACACCAGAACCGTGAGCAACAGCACACACACAGAAGCAACAGCAGCAACACCGGAGGTGCTCGTCTCCCCCGCTACCGCACCGTTATCCCAATGGTGGCTCGCTGGCTCGCCTTTGCTTAGACAGGTGGTACCATCGAAGCGTGCCCGCACAGATAAGTCCAACGTAACAGCGGCAACGAGCGTGGAGGGCGGACGGGTCCAGACGCCTCAGCTTCAGGTGCGACTGGAAATTCTGCGAGACGAAGTTCGGGTCCCCCCACGGCATGGCCAGGCACACGGGGCAGACGGCGGCGACCGGTCGCCCGGCGTGCCTGGCGTCCACGTGCTCCAGCAGGCCCCTGCAGCTGAGGTTCCTCTCCCCGCAAATGTCGGCTGCACGTAAGAGTGACCCCAGGCAAAAGTGCCTTTTGTGGGCTAAATCCAAGAGCGCAGGGCCGCGGAGGGGCTAAATCCAAGCGCGCAAGCCAGTGCTGGGATGGCCCCTGTGGGCCAACACCAGAAAGGGCACTCTGGCGAACGGTCACTCTTATGCGCAGCCGAAGATGGGGCACGTGAACGTGGAGCGGTTTGGCCCCGCCGCCGGCGCTGGCCCAGTGCTCGCGGGGGCGGCGGCGGCCTGCTGCTGCCTGACGTGCTCGCACACGTGGCTCTCCGCCTTGGCATGGAGGGGCAAAGAGGTCCATGTGCCCTGTTAACAGGAAAGGGTCCTGGGCCCAAAAGACCTGAGCTTCCCAAGGGTCAACTTCTCGTTCCTAGTCGTTCTTTGGACAGCCCAGGCCCCATGAGAGGCCGAGAGCGGCGAAAATGACCTGGGGCTCATCTTTGCCCGAGGATATCGGGTGGACTTCTTGGGCACTCGGCAACTCATGTGTCATGTGTGGTCTTGGCAGTGTTTGCAATCACCGCGCTACTTGTAGGAACGCCTGATAACGACGGGGGCTTTTCTGGCCACGGCGAGCCTCGGCCACAAATCTGCTGTCTAAATACTCGGAGCGGCCCGAGAACTAGAGCGCCTCCACCAAGGCCTTCCTTCAAGACCAGGTCGTCATCCTGAGTCGTGTTCTGACAGTCCCAGAGCCCATGGAGGGCCTCGGGACGCCAAACACCGTGAGAAACCGCAGGACCCGTTCCTCTCAGGACCCGTTCCCTTCATGGCGAGAACCCCAAGGGGACACATCGACCTGGAGCCAGCGATACATCGCCGATAGATAAGGGATAGGATCTCGATCGCGAATCCGCTCGTTCCTGGGCGGGGTGGGCTACCAGGCCCCTATCGGCGATGCAGGTGCGATTGGGGGTCGATACGTTCCCCCCTGAGCAGATCCCCCCCTGACAATGCCGCTTCGTTTTCGGGTCATACTCAACTCGGCCCTCGAGCGGCCGTTCGGGACGATCCGGGCAGCCCTGGAACGCCCCCGGCGAGGCGCAGCTGCTGGAAGGCATCTCGAGGCTGGGAAACCGTCGAGAATCGACGAAAACTACCGAAAACTTCGAACCTCGCACCTCCTTGAGCCTCTTTGGGCCTATCCCCCCCCAACGTTGCCCCTGACCCACCTTAGCCTATCCCCCTGAGGGACTGGGGAGGAGGGATGATGATGATGATGATGATGATGATGATGATGATGATGATGACGATGATAATGATGATGATGATGTGGACGATTCGGGGCCATCTTGTTTCTTCTTTGTGCAAACGGCGGAGGGCGGCCACGAGCGAAACGCCAGCAGTGAAGCACAGACTCGGAGAAACATTAAAAGCTCAAGTGGGTGGGAGGGCCCAGGGTAGAACTTGAGCGTGGGAATACGGCCGCGGTGTTGCCACAAATGCCGACAAGTCGCTGTATGTGGACGATTCGGGGCCATCTTGTTTCTTCTTTGTGCAAGCGGCGGAGGGCGGCCACGAGCGAAACGCCAGCAGTGAAGCACAGACTCGGTACCACACGCTAGTCTACCCAGGTAGCAACAGCCGAATTACTCACTGACCAAAAACTTTCTTATATCTCGCGGCGCGGGACAGATGACGAGCTTCGGCCACTATCATTTCAGTGCCAGCAATGGCCACTTCTGAGGGGAGACCTTTAGCAGAGGCACGAGCTACGGCGTCCAAAGCTGGACGTCCCAGGCCTCCCAGGTGACGTCTCTGAGTGCGATCGCAGAGGCCTTGGGCGCAGAGGCAACGACGAGCGAGGCAATCGAGGTCCCGCACGCCCCAACCGACAAGGTGGATTCGCTGTCTCACGCGACCCGCATACATGCACGCGTCGAGGGAGCAGGAGGAGGAGGACGAGGCAAGGAGAGGGGACAGGCGGGGATGCCTCCAAATGAGGCTCGACTCAGGGTGCATAAAAATGTTCGGGACTCTGCGGAGGATACCTTCAGCAATCAATTTGAAGGTGGATTCAGCCAGCGCGTTGGCCACTCGCACGGCGCGACAGGCGGCCTCTGAGGCTCTATTCACGTGCAGCAGGGAATCAATCTTGCGGACGCGCGCCGCCCCCGGCGCCCAGGTGCCCCAGGGCAAGGATGCCCAGACTCCAAGCACAGCCGAGGCGCGCACCCAGCCAGTCAGAGCCTTCAGAACCTGAGGGTCAGCTAGGTCGTCGAGGCGATGTCGAGCAACGTTCGCCGCTGCGGTGCCGAGCCCGCGGGCCTCGCGCACTCGCCGAACTCGGTCGGGGACACAGGTGCAGAGCATGATGAGGTAAGGCATCGCTGTGGTATGCGCCCGCGCTCGTAGCCACAGGCGCCTCGCACGAAGAGCCACTTGTCGGTCATCGCGGGGGCCGCCTGCGCCGGCGCTGACGCCGACGCCGGCCTCAGGGGCGGCAGCGGCAGCGAGGAGATGCCCGTCCTCGCTATCACGTCCATCAGGCCGAACAGATCGCTCTCGACCTTCTGCCCGAAGTCCACCAGCGCGGGGTCGAGCTGGGCCAGCCGCTGCTGCGTGCGCGCCCGCTTGGCGTACCTGTTCAGAGACTGGTCCGTCCTCCACCTGCCGCTGTCCTTGACCTCTCTCCTCGTGCGGCGACCCGGGAGGAGGTCGTCGGAGGCCCCCCCGTGGCGCAGCGAGTAGAGGGAGGTCTGCTGGTCGGAGATCCCGAGCTGGACCAGGGCCTCCGCGAAGACGCGCCGCAGCTGGTGCGGCGTGAAGGCCCAGAGGCTCTTCTCCGCGCGGCGCCCTAGCCGAAGCGCCTCGAGGAGAGGCCAGAGGAGCGGATCGTCGACGATGACGCTCTCGTCGGTGACCTCCGTCTTGCCAGGCCTCCCGCTCGCCGCGTCGGTCACCAACAGTGCCCAATGCTGGTGGCCCTCCGTGGAGCCCGACCTCGGAGCGATCAGGGAGGCCGCCGTGAGTCGGTAGGCCTCGCTGGGGCGGATGCATGTGTCGAACGCGATCCTCACGAGGACCGCCTGCGACAAGAGCCCCTGCGACAGCAGCGCGCCCACGATTGCGAACGTCGCGACCCTCGGCAGCGGGGGCCGCATCAGCGGTGGCACGAGCTTCGTCCAGCCCTGGAGGGCCCGAAAGGCCCGTGGCAGCGGGCGGCTGCCCATCAGCATCGACGGCAAGTGGTGCTTCAGAGAGGCCATCGTGACGCGGCCCGTCGCACTGTCGTACCCGTCGAGGAAGAGGTGGGCGAAGAACACCGCGAGGATCGTGTCGAGCTCGACGCTGTTCTTGAAGACCCTGGCGGTCCAGAGGCACCAGTTCAGAAACCTGAGGGCGGAGGCGTGGTAGTTCTTGCCCGTCGACTCCGAGACCGCGTTGGCCTCCAGCACCGACAGTCCGCCCCGCAGGAGCGTCAGCGGACCAGGATGTTCCCGCCTGGCCCTCGCAGCCTTGATCACCTCCTTGGGGGATCCGCGGGCGGCGCGCGACGAGGTACGACCCGACGTCCTCGAAGCTAGGGCCGACGAAGAAACCTTCCCTCGACGGCTTGTCCGCGACATTCCTCTCTGACGGCACCCACCGCACGAGCAGGCGCAGGCCGCAGGCGAGGGCCACGCCAGCGATCCGCCGCAGGGCGCGGAGAAGATGTCGGCTCCCAGACCGCCCCTTGCCGAGCGACAGAGCTAGAGCCAAATTGTCCACGATGCAGACGACGCGATGATGATGGGCACCCAGGGCCCTCGAGGCATGATGGGCGCTGAACCCCAGGGCCTCCGCCTCGTGCTGAAGGATATCGCAGCCACGGCGGGTATGACGGCTAGAGTGTATGGTCTTCCACCCTCGGCCCCGTAGATGGACTCAGGGACCTCGAGGAACCCACTGGGCCCAGACGACGAAGCAGTAGAGGCAGTAGACGATGTGACGGCACGGCAACCGTCGGCAGCATCGTCTCGACCGTCGACGTCAAGGGCATGTGATCTGGCAAGCACGGCATCCCCATGACGATATCTCCAGCGTTCGGCGACTCGGCCGACCTCGGACGACAGCGTGGGGGGGACCTCCTTGACACAGACACCCTTCCCGAACGGCGACGCATCAGAAGCATAGACCCGCGAATACCAGCGAGACCTTGTAGAGGCACTCCAGAGCGGGATGAGGGCCACGGCAGCCGACAACTCCCTGACGACCGAGGGCCACAGGGGTCCAGGATGAGGTCCCACAGCCCCCATGAACCGATAGACCGCGTTAAAGATGCTCAGAACGTCGCGCCTCAGGATCATCCCCCAAGTACAGTGGCCTACGAGCACGCTGAGGGCCCCAGCAGAGGCCCGCCCACGCTTCAAAAGTCCGAGAACGGCTTGACGAGTGCGAGCGAGGCGGTCAGGACGAACACGAATGATCCCAGAGGCTCCGTCGATCTCCAAGCCCGTGAAGACCCCCTTACTGACCGCAGGGGAGAATTCCAAGACAGGCAACCCGCGGGCCGTGAGAAGGTCAGCAACGGCACGAGCAGGGACGTGGCTGTCTCCGCACACTTGGATACGACACAGAAGTTGTCAACGTATCCTGCACACACCGCGTCCTTCTCAGCGACCAAGGGCCGAGGGCAGCCCCCATCCAAATCATATCGTCACTGCCGAACCCGACATCCGACAGGGCTCTCGTCAGCGCACTCTGGCGCAGGTGGAGGGCCCAACTCCACCCCATGGGAACGACCGTGACAAGAGGCTGGACACAGTCGTTGATGCCAAGACGAACCCCGTTGACCGACTTGAGGCCGAGGAATCTGTTGTTTATCGGAGGCAGAGAGAACAGAGACTCCATGCCAGCTGGCAATCGTAAATGATAGAATGCACACTGAATGTCGCCCTGCGCGAACTGAAAACTGTCATCGCAGTCAAGGCTGGCCCGCGCGCTGGGCGTGGGCAGGCGAGTGGCTGGTGGGCACGAGAAGCTGCAGTTGGCCAGCCTGGTGTCGAACACCAACCTCAGCTTGCCGTTTGATTTCTGCACGAAGAAGAGACCAGTAGAGAAGGATGCCTGCTCGCTGGAGACCCGCCAGGTGATCATGTCGTGGGCCTCCAGCTGCTTCAAAAACTCAGCGTAGGACTTCGGCTTAAAGCGCAGCTCAGGATCCACATAGGGGCGGATAACCCCCAGCGATTCGCGCAGCTCCGCCGCCACCGACTCGGGATTCAGCATACTCTGCCTCCAATCCTGCAGCACGATGGAGTCGGCCTCGGAGACGACGCCGCAGGTGGAGACTGCCTTCGTCGACTCGGGCCAGGCCACAAGCGGCATGCTGTAGGGGCGCACTCGACCGCTGTCACCAGCGTAGCCAGGTGCCTGCGCGAGCATCTCTACGAGGGATGCTTCGCAATCGCGGCCTCTCTCCGAGTAGGCGGCGGGCAGCTCGAAGTCGCGGTGCAAGCCCGCGACGTAGTCCACTGAGGCTGCCTGGGCCGCAGGCGGTGGCCCCCCTTCGTCAGGCATGGAGGGCTCGTCCTTGCCGCAGTGGAGCCAGTTGAGAGCAGACAATCCCTCGTTGCACCACTCTCTCCAGCCCGCGCCTTTGGCGGCGCGCAGACGAGCCCCACGACCAAGCGGAAGATGGCGACGCCCATCCACTGGAAGAAGAGGAAGCGGAAAAACGTCACGCTGGCGATGGTCACCTCGTCTGGGCAACTCCAAGCCAGGTGGGGCCTCGAAGGGCTCGGGGCAAAGCTGGCCAGGCTCACGAACAGGTTGCACGTCGTGAGGCCCCTCCTGACCAGCGTCCTTCAGGAACGTCATGGATGCCGCAAGGCCCGCCCCTCGCGAGCCTTGCGGCGCCCCTTTGCAACAGCTGCCTCACTCTTCATCTGGTCGGCGATCCAATCCATCAAGGCTGGGCAGATGCACAGGTTGCCCATCGTCTCTCCAGTGCCGAGGAAGTGGCCGATCTCAGAGGAGACGTCGGCGGCCGCGGCCGCGGCGCCGTCCTTGGCCTGGCCCTTGGCCCTGGGCGCAGGGTGGGTCCTGCGCGCGCGCTCCTCGAAGAAGCGCTCCTCCACCAACTGCAGCTGCCGCGACAGGAACTCGTAGGAGGCCATCTCGCAGATGATCAGCTGGTCGTGGCAGAGCGAGGTCTCGATGACGCGGCACAGCGTCTCGTGCAGCTTGGCGGTGTCGTCCGTCTCGAGGGCCTGCATCACGGCCAACCAGCGGTTGTGCCACGCCATCGCCCCGCCAGCCATGCGGAGCATGAAGTGGAGCACCCGCGTCGTGGTCCTTGGGCCCTTCGCGGGCCAGTCGGCGCGGGGGGTCTCGGTCTGGCGCTTCACCGCGTCACTGAAGGGCATGTCCCGCAACCCGCGAGCGTCGAGGACGGCGGCCATCACACGGGGATCAGGCCCCGCGACGCCTGGGGCCGCGGGGGCCGCGGCGGCGGCGCCGACGCCCGGAGGGCCAGCGGCGGCAGGCAGGGCGGCCCCCCCCCCCGCACCGAGCGCCGCAGCCAGCGCGCCCACCCCGCCCTCGGGCGCAGCGGCCGCCGCGGCAGGCAGCCCAGGGGCGCCCGCGGGGGGCGCGGCCGCGCCGGCCAAGGCCAGCGCGCCAGGCGCTGCGGCAGCGGGCGCCGCTCCGAGCGGGTCGGGCAAAGCCAGCGCCCCCGCCGCCACGCCCAGTACGTTGTCGGCGCTGAGCTCGAGGTTGAAGGGCGACGGCGGCAGAAGCCCATGGCCCTGGGCGACGCCGCGGCGCACAGCCGCCCACACGCTGGCTGCAGACGGCAGCCGCCTGAACTTGTAGAGGCTGTTGGCGGCGACTCCGACGATCGCGTCGCCCTGGCCCGATGAGTCATGCACAGATCTCAAGTCGCCACCTGCCAAGTCGCTCTCAGCGTAGTCATCACCGTCAGGGGTGAGGATGTACCCTGGCAGCAACGTGAGTCTCTCGTGATAGATGGCGGGCCCACCGACGTTGTACCGAACGTAGTGGAACTGTCCAGCAGCGCGAGCAGCCATGGCTCCTAGCGGCGGAACTTCCTCGCCTGGGCAGCCGCCGTCGTCGCGAGGTCGAGAGTGTCCACGGCCTCCTGCTGAGGTGCTGGAGCGGGTGCAGGCTGCGCCACGGGGGCCGTAAGCGAGCTCCTGACGAAGTAGCCGCCGACGACGATGCCGTACGCGAAGGCGCTCACCACGAGCACGACCACGAACTCGGTTGACCAGCCTGTGGGCTGAGCAGATGTCAGGGAGCCCTCGCCAGCCGGGCAGCGGCACTCCAGCGCTGGGCAGTGCAGCGCAGGAGAGCAGACACAATCTGGGCAAGGCGTCGAGCTGCCCCGAACGATGATGGCAGTGGTGAGGGCACTGGTGAGGTCGGCGCAGACCCGCTCAAATAATGGTGGCATTCCTTTAAAACTTGAGCGTGGGAATGCGGCCGCGGTGTTGCCACAAATGCCGACAAGTCGCTGTATGATGATGATGATGATGGAGGAGGAGGCGGAGGATGATGATGAGGAGGATGAGGAGGAGGAGGACCAGTGCAAACCCAGGACGCATCAATGATGTTGCAGTCGACCCTCTTTCCAAGTCTCCTCTTCATAGACCCCTTACAAAGATTTATGACCACTGAAGAAAATGCAACCGTTTGTAAATCCTGACCTGTGCCAGAACACCATTCCTGGGAATTTGACGCCGCGAATCACCGTTGCTGTTGCGTCTTGACGATTTTGTATCGTACCAGAACGCCGTTATTGAAACTTCAATGCCGCGAATCAACACAACTGTTGCGCCCTGGCCCTGGCAGTTCGACGTCGTGCCAAAACACCATTTCTGGACGTCAACCATGAGAACCCTTGAAACAAATTTAAGCGCGTAGAATGAATGTGCGCGGCGCTCAGACGATGGCCACATTTTCTGAAAACGACCCGCCCTCCATCCGTGAAGCAGCTGCATTTTTTTAAAGTGATGTGCGCGGTGCTATGGCGAGAGCCGCATTTTGCAAACGGCCCGCCCTCCATTCGAGAAGCTCTTGCGATTTTTGAAGCGAATTTGCGCGGCGCCCAAGCGATAGCCCCATTTTTTGAAAACGACCCGCCCTCCGTCCATGAAGCTGTTGCATTTTTTTGCAACGGATGTGCTCGGCGCTAAGGCGAGAGCGACACTTTGAAAACGACCTGCTCTCCATAAATGAAGCTCCGGCAAATTTTGGAAACGGATGTGCGCGGTGCTGAAGCGAGAAGCGCATTTTGAAAACGGCCCGTACTCCACCTGTGAATCCTATGATTTTTTTATACCGATGAGCGCGTCGTTCAAGCGAGAATCACATTTTGTAAACGATCCGCCCTCAATTCGTAAAGCTGTTGCAGATTCCGATTTTCAAGATCATCAGTGGTGAGGAATTCTCAAGCGAAGCGCGAAACGCCTGGCCCGCCCTTTCGACCAGCTTCGGGGTTGAACAGGGAGGAGGTGTTTCTGAGGGAAAGACATGGTGGAGAGGGAGGAGGAGGGAAGGAGAAGGAGGAAGCCCCCCTGACCCCCCTTGACCCTATCCCCCTGAGCATATCCCTGTGAGAGAACACCTCCCAGTGGGCGAGAATGATGTCATGATAAGACTGGCTCAGGAAGATTTCCAGAGTATCTAGTGGCGAAGCCGGTACAGAACAGTAGGAAATATGTGAAGTCCTGTAAACCTCATCCTGGAATGTATCATTATCATTATCTAAGGTACCAATACCGCTACTCCACGGCCCTCTCCTGGAGCGGTCTGACCAGAATTTCGATGTGAATCCAGCGGTGGCGAGGAGGGCCTCCCAGGAGACCACAAAAGGGGAAGACGAGGCAAGGGAAGTGGTACAGGTACGTTTCCCTCCCTGGTTGGGCGTCGCTTGATGGGGGGCGATAAATGGGGGGGAAGGCGACCCCGTTAGTGGCCCTAAAGGGCCCCTTTTCTGCAGCCCTCGCTGCCCCCCCAGTTTACCGACCCTGCATTACGCGACGCCCGACCTTGAGCGACCCTCGTCTCTTCTGGGCGAGGCCTCGAGCAAGGGCACCTGCACCCCGCAGCCGCAGGCCAAGCGCATCGCCTCGGCGGAGGCCGCAAAGCCCTCGTCCCGGGGCCTTCCAGGCGGCAGCGCGGCCTGGCACACCTCAGGGGGCTCTGGGAGACACAAAACAATCCACGCAAACTGCAGAATTCCTTGTATTTTCCAATCTTAGCTGCCCCGATGCGCAACACGCGACACGTAGCGTATTGATGCGGAGCTGAACACGCAGACCGAACACGTAGGTCTGACGCGATACGTTCGCCGAAACGTGGGCCAATACGCGGAGTCAACGTGCAACGTATTGACACGGACGTTTTTAAGCACGGTATGTGCTGCGTCTCAAAAAGGGCGTATCGAGTCAACTGAATTTCCAACATACCCTGGCTTTTCCTCTCCACCTCCATTTCGAATGCGTTCCAAGATATCCGGAGGAAAGCCCAAATCAACTTCTGCTTGTGCCGATCTTTGCCTCCTGAACACCGGGCACGCGACGAGGGAGCCCGCCCTGCTGCAGCCAGCGCAGAGCCGGTGCGGGCAGCCCGTGAGCAGCATGTCGCGCATCCCGCCGAGGCACACGCAGCAGCGCAGGTCCTCCGGGATCTGCATGGCCGCGCGCGCGCGCCACTCGCACCACTATGCTGGGCGAGTTCGAGCAGGGGATCGACTAGCGAACTGATTTACCCCAAGATTGACTTTCACGTCGGATCTGCGAGAAAGACGTAGAACGTTCCGTAGATCTGCGGAAGGAGCTACGTCGAAGTCAAGCTTGGGGTGTATCGATTCTGCAACCGATCCCCTGCCCGACGAGTGCCGACGCGCGGTCGCCCTGCCGCGCGGCGCGCTGCCGCACCCGATGCCTGGGCGGGAGGCAGGGCAGGGCGTGGGCGGAGGGCCCGGGTGGGCGGTCGCGTCGGCCTTGCTCGTCCTGCGCTCGGCGGCGCGCCTGGGGGGGGGAGGCAAGGGAGGGCGGGCCTTCTCAGAAGGCTCGGGAGGCATCCGGCGCCGTGTGAGAGAAGCTTGCTAAGCCCTCTCTGGAGCCAGAGGGCTTCTCGGAAGGCCGGAGAGCCCCGCCGCCTTCTGAGAAGGCCTGCCCCTTCTCGCTTCCAACGTCGGTGCGCCGCTGGTGCTCCTCCTGGAGGTTTACCGCTGGCCCCTTCCCTCATCCTATCCCGTTTGTTCCAACTTCGGCCCCGCAATCTGGGGACCCGGGACGACAACGCGCAGACCGTATGACACACGCAATGACGCGTGCTCGTTTTGGCCTCCAAGACGCCTCGACAAGGGTGGGTATCTCCGCCGAGCGAGCCTTTCCGCTTCAACGTCGGTGTTCCCTGTCTGGCCTGTCGGATGCCCAAGACAACCAGTCAGGCTCCAAAGGGGCTGGCCCAGGGAGACCCTCAAGAGGTACCGAGGAGTTCCCGAAACGTTCCCACAAGGGACCCCAAAGGGGCGCCCAACCCCCAACAAGCCCCCAAGGCTTCCGAAGAGGCTCGCAAGACGGCTGAGGATGCCTCCCAGAAGCCCCAAAGAGCCCCTCAACGCCACGGAGGCAACTACCTCGGCTCGGGTCAGCCCTTGAAGGACGCAGCGTGCATCCCAGATCAGAATCCTTGAGGGAAGCGGTGCGCATGCCTGCGTTGCCAAAAGCCAAAGAGCTGGGCTGCGTGGGGCTAATGAAAATGCCCACGCATAATTCCCAATGAATCCGGCGCAACCCCAAAGAAGGGAACGCTTCCTAAACGGCATTGCCTGGCATTGCTTGACATTGCTTTGCCTTGCTTGGTATTTCAGTTGCTCTGGGGATCTTTATCTATTTTCGGCGGTAGCCGAAATCATCCGGAGGAGTGGGAGGGTAAGGAGGTGCAGGCCGATAATCTAACCTCTTCGCTTTGGGCGACCCCAGGTATGACCGCGCACACCAATACTGCGTACCCCCGTCGGATCTGCGAAACCGACAACGTCAAACTATCGGGGGGGAGGGGGTGGGGCGGGCGGGTCCGGTAATCCAGGTTTTCGCTGGACCCTAGACAAACAGTCTCTGGCTTGGCTTGGTTTTGCTTGGCATTGCAATCGCACTGCGTGGCATAGCTTTGCATTGCTTTGCATTGTTTGGCTTTGCTTGGCGTTGGTTGGTATTGTTTCGAATGGCTTGGCATTTCCTGGGATTTCTTTGCATGTCTTGGTATCGCTTGGCATTGCTTGGCATCGCTAGACGTTGCTTGGCATGTCGATGCTTCGCTTGGCATTTTTTCTGTAATCTTAAAACAACGCTGTTTGCCAGCTTGGACCACAAACAATGATTTTCTTGCAATCTATGCGGTGCAAACTATGTGGTGCAATTAATTTTGGTTCGCAGTGAATTGCCAATTCCACTGCTCGTGCAATCATCCGACCCACCCACTCGCATTTAGGTTTGCATAACCTATGCGAGGGCGATTGCGATGAGTGCTCGGCGCTGGCTGGCGCATAGCTGCGGCCGCGCTAGCGCGCGCGCAGGCTCGTGCGCAGAGCGGCCAGCTAGTCTGACGTCTCGGACGCGGCCGCGGTGGCGCTGACTGCTGGGGACTTCCCAGCACGTCTCGCAGGCCGCACTGACGCGCGGGCACATCGTTGCGAGTCGGTGACTCGGGCGGGCGCGGTATCGTGGCGATATCGACAACGGCAGACACGATGACCACAGTAACGATGCTCGTGACGATGATGACAATGACGACAGCCAGGGTAATGATGGCGCCGATGGTGATCACGCCGATGACGACGATGGTGTCCTCGCGTCTGTGATGAAGCTGTTGGAAGGATTTCGAAATGCGCTCGCGGCCGACGCGCGCGAATGGCCCGCATTGTCACATTTGACACGGGTCGTGCCCCTCCAACACGCGCGCAAGGGCGTTCGAATGATTTCGGCATGCGCGCGCGAGAGGCCACTTTGGTCGCATGTGATGAGCCTGCGGAAAAGTCGACGGTTTCCTTAACAATTCAACTGAGCGTTTTTTGAAAACGCGTGCAGCACAACCATATGTTCCCGTATGTTTTCGAGACACTCGGTCTTGGAATCCTGAGGAACCCTCTTGTTTTTGATGGGTTTCGGCATGCGCGCGACGACGCGCGCGTGTGCACGTCGTCATGCTTTTTCCCAACCGTCCTGTGGTGTCGGGTCCTCGTTTTGAAGAGACAGCGCCCCGCGTCCCACCTCCTCCTCTCCTCCTCTCCCTCCTCCCCTCCCATCACCATCACCATCACCATCACCATCACCATCACCATCACCATCACCATCACCATCACCATCACCATCATCATCATCATCATCATCATCATCATCATCATCATCATCATCATCATCATCATCACCCCCCTTCCCCACACCATCGTCACCATCACCACCACCACCCATCATCCATCAGCATCACCATCTGCAGCATCATCCTCATCCACACCCTCCTCATCATCATCGTCCCCACCGCCCATGTCGTCACACCCCTCACACGGTTCGTGGCCCCATAGGGAGCTCCACCGAAGGCCCCAGTGGGGGTGTCCGCATGCGTCCTCCCCGCCCACGGCAGGCTCATTTCGGCACGCCCCCCACACGGTTCGTGGCCTTCTAGGGAACTCCACCGAAGGCCCCAGTGGCACAATTCGCATGCGTCCTCCCCGCCCACCGCAGGCTCATTTTGGCACACCCCTCACACGGTTCGTGGCCCCATAGGGAGCTCCGCCGAAGGCCCCGGTGGGGGTGTCCGCATGCGTCCTCCCCGTCCACCGCAGGCCCATCTCGGCACGCCCCTCACACGGTTCGTGGCCCCATAGGGAGCTCCACCGAAGGCCCCAGTGGCACAGTTCGCATGCGTCCTCCCCGCCCGCCGCAGGCTCATTTCGGCGCACCCCTCACACGGTTCGTGGCCCCATAGGGAGCTCAACCGAAGGCCCCAATGTCACAGTTCGCATGTGTCCTCCCCGCCCACCGCATGCCCATTTCGGCACACCCCTAACACGGTTCGCGGCCCCATAAGGAGCGCCACCGAAGGCCCCAATGGCAGGGTCCGCGTGCCGCCCCCGCACCAATTTCGGCACACCCCTCATACGTTTCTTGGCCCCATAGGGAGCACCACCGAAGGCGCCTGTGGCTGCGTCCGCATGCCTCCCCACCAGCCATGTCGGCGCACCCCTTATTCCTCACACGTTTCGTGGCCCCTGGCCCCGCATCGAGCTCCACCGAAGGCCCCAACGGAGACTTTCGCCCCTCGTGGGCCTTTTGAAAAAGTCTGCGAACGCTCCGCTGGTGCGAGAGACCCGCCAGAGGCCCTCTGTAATGTAATTCACGCAATAGCACGTGCTCCAAAGTTTTTTAACGGAGCTGCCTCCTGGCCTGCGCGGGTCTGGAGCCTGGCTCCCGACGACGCGGTGCGATTTCCAGTTCGCAGAACTTGTGAAACGGCGTTGTGAACGGCTTTCTCTACTTCGTCGCGAAGCGCCACTTGGCTCTACATGATGTTCAATCGTGCCCGTGTGTGCAGTTCTGTATGGCCGGAAAGGGACCCTGAAAAGGCTCCCTGTCCAGCGGCGGCAGCGGGACCCTGAAAAGGCTCCCTCTCCCGCCTGTGCGTTGCCGGAGAGGGGCCCTGACAAGGCTCCCTGTCCGGCGGCGGGAGGGGGGCCCTGAAAAGGCTCCCTCTCCCGCCTGTGTGTTGCTGGAAAGGGACCCTGAAAAAGGCTCCCTGTCCGGCGGCGGGAGGGGGGCCCTGAAAAAGGCTCCCTCTCCCGCCTGTGCGTTGCCGGAGAGGGGCCCTGAAAAGGCTCCCTGTCCGGCGGCGGGAGAGGGACCCTGAAAAGGCTCCTTCTCCCGCCTGTGCGTTGTTGGAGAGGGACCCTGAAAGGGCTCCCTGTCCGGCGGCGGGAGGGGGACCCTGAAAAGGCTCCCTCTCCCGCCTGTGCGTTGCCGGAAAGGGGCCCTGAAAAGGCTCCCTGCCCAGGCTCCCTCTCCCGCCAATGCGTGAGGCGGCGGGAAGGGGAACCTGAAAAGGCTCCCTCTCCCGCCCGTGCGTTGCTGGAGAGGGAGCCTGAAAAGGCTCCCTGTCCGGCCGTGGGAGGGGGACTCTGAAAAGGCTCCCTCTCCCGTCGTCGCTCTGCCCAGCGGCCAGCCTTGCTCGCTATCAGCTAGCCTGCTCGCTATCTTTCTGCTCCGCGGAGCGGACGACCCGCGCGCGTCGCCGGGACCCTTTCGGGGAGACCGGCGTGCGTCGTGGCGACTCCGTGCGGCGCCGCGCCCGCAGCCGTGGACATCGGCGCGCACGGGCAAATAGGGAGAAATAATAACGGGAAGGAAGCGGGCGCGATCCTCGTGAGGAGCGTGCCGACATGGTCGTCGATATTCATGCACGTAGACTGATGAGCACGCAGACTCGTTCACAATCAGACGCAGTCGCGCTCAGGCTCACACGTTCTCAGTCTCTCGCACTCAGACCGATCGTCTGTGTTCGCGTGGTGTACCCCGCCACGCATTTCGGCACGCCCCTCACACGGTCCGTGGCGCGGGCGAAGATTATATGCACAATGGCGGTATTCACAGCTGCATCAGGTTGGGTCCTTCGCCAGGCTAATTTCCAAGGGATGTTTGAAAACGGATTATTTTGGATAAACGAGTGTGCGCGAATAATATTGTTTGACAAGAAGAATGGGTGGGGGGTGGGGGTCGATGACCGGACTGCCTGGGATGGTCTGACCTCATGTTTAGGTTGGGCACGCGTAAAGAACCACATACGCAAAAACAATGCGAACACACGTCACGTTGCGTCCGGAGGGGAGGTAGATCCTAATTTCTGTTTGGAATGAGGTGCAATCCACATGTTGCAATCCATGCGGTGC